TCAGGAGGCTGAGGCAGGAGAATTGCCTGAACCCAGAAGGCGGAGGTTGCGGTGAGCCGAGATCGCACCATTGCACTCCAGCCTGGGTAACAAGAGCGAAACTCCGTCTCTAAAATAAATAAATAAATAAAATAAATAAATAAATAAAAATTACCCTGGCATGGTGGTGTGTGCCTGTAGTCCTAGCTACTAGGGAGGATCACTTGGGCCCAGGAGTTTAGGATTACAGTGAGCTGTGATCATGCCACTGCACTCCATGCACTCCAGCCTGGAAGATAGCCTGAGACCCTGTCTCTCAAAAAAAAAAAAAGGAAGTGGAAGACAGACAAGTCAACTACAAATGTGCATCTTTCCTCCTGTTTTTATTGGTAATTTTCTCTGAAGTAAATCCTGTAACTTATTTTCAATGAAACCTCAGTCATGGCAAGGACTTCTAACTGTACTGAGTTAAATTATGCGGCAAATTTCTAAGCAACACAGATAGTCTTTTTGGACAGAAAATGCAACTAAAAACTTTAAGACAAAAAACCATGCATTTGAGGATATGGAGTAATGTCTTACTGGGTTGAAGGTCTGAATCTTTTAAGAATGCCATAAGCAAACATAGCATTCTGTTTCTATGGCACGAATCAGCAAGACATTTTGAATCAATGTAAATAAGCAATAGCAAAAGCAGACAAAATCTAAATATTACATAGATTTTTTTTTTTTTTTTTTGGGACGGAGTTTCACTCTTGTTACCCAGGCTGGAGTGCAATGGCGTGATCTCGGCTCACCGCAACCTCCGTCTCCTGGGTTCAGGCAATTCTCCTGCCTCAGCCTCCTGAGTAGCAGGGATTACAGGCACGCGCCACCATGCCCAGCTAATTTTTTGTATTTTTAGTAGAGACGGGGTTTCACCGTGTTGACCAGGATGGTCTCGATCTCTTGACCTCGTGATCCACCCGCCTCGGCCTCCCACAGTGCTGGGATTACAGGCTTGAGCCACCGCGCCCGGCCTAATATTACATAGATTTTTAAGATTTCTAACTAATTGCTCACACAGGGGCACAAGTCAGCTGTATGTTCCAAATACAATCTCCACTGGTCTTCCTAATAAGAAAGTCTGTCTTATAACTTTTTTTTTCCCCAAAGTGATGGCTTACTTATTATTAGAGATTATGGTGGAAAGATAGACTAATGTTCTAACAGTACCATTTTTTCCTCCAGATAGGATAATGTATTTATCACTAGAATGTCTTCAGTTTTCCATATTCAAAGAATATGTTCCAATGTAAAGGATGACGTAGAAACAAAATCTAGTCTTCCTTATGTGGCACTTAAAAAGATTTAAAAAAAAATTTTTTTTTTTAAGACAGGGTCTCACTCTGTTGCCCAGGCTGGAGTGCAGTGGCACCATCAGGGCTCACAGCAGCCACAACCTCCCTGGGCTCAGGTGATCCTGCTGCCCTCAGCCTCCTGAGTAGCTAAGACTACAGGCATGCGCTAACATGCCTGGCTAACTCTTGCGCTTTTTGTAATGGTGAGATTTTGCCATGTTACCCAGACTGGTCTCAAACTCCTGAGCTCAAGTTATCTGCCTGCTTTGGCCTCCCAAAGTGCTGAGATTATAAGCATGAGCCACCATCTCCAGCCAGATTTTAAAAATTCTTTAATTTTGTTTTTCTAAGTGTCAGGCAGCATGATGGAAAAGAACACTGAATTTGGAGTATGAAGAGTTGGGTTCATGTTTCAATCTCTGAGGATCTCATATACTTCAGTCAAAAAAGGAGGACAATACCACCTGCCTAAGCCACCTGTCAGGAATATTGTAAGGGTCAAATAAGATACATGGTAGTGATTTTTAAATCGTAAAGACCTACATTAATGAAAAGTGTTATTCTTCTTATTACATTGGAACTATATTTTATTTTTTAATTCAAAGTTCTAAACTTCTACTTTTTAAAAGATTTATAAAAGCTGAGGCTTCAGGGAAATAAAAAAAATTCTAAAGCTGAATGTATTTGTTGATAAAAACAGTTTACCTTAAACTTAAACATGGCCAGGCTCACATCTGTAATCCCAGCACTTTGGGAGGCTGAAGCAGGTGGATCACTGGAGGCCAGGAGTTCGAGACCAGCCTGGCCAACATGGTGAAACCCTGTCTCTACTAAAAATACAAAAATTAGCTGGCTATGGTGGCATACGCCTGTAATCACAGCTACTCAGGAGGCTGAGGTAGGAGAATTGCATGAACCCAGGAGGCAGAGGCTGCAGTGAGTCAAGATCATGCCACTGCACTCCAGCCTGGGTGACAGAGCAATACTCTGTCTCAGAAAAACAAAACAAAAACCTTAAATGTGCCATAAGGGTATATAAGCCCCTGCTGGGAAATTTTAGGTAATCCACTTCCTATTCTTAGGTAGTAGAAATTTTAAGTTTTCTATTTTCCCAGAATGAAATCCAGTATTGAATTTGTTAACGAATGGACACCTAAACTAACTCCTAAGAAACAGACCTTAAAGTTTTGTGTTCACAGTGCCTCAAAAGTTCCTGTTTAAAATCTCTGAGATCCCTTCAAAAATTGGAATAAAAATGGCTCTCTAGGCTGGTACCTCTAGTCCACGTAGCTGGGTCTGCTGGCTAATCTGATGGTTCAACTGCTGCAATTCTAGTCGTAGCTGTTCTCTCTCAGCAGATGGAAGGGGTTTTCCATGACTGGCCACTTCTGACATAGATATTCTCTCCCTTTGTTTAGAAAGAAAGTGTGAAGCTAATTTTAATATTTTATTTTGTTAAAATATTACTGACCAGAAAAACAAAGAGAAGTTGTATAATTTTAAAGGTTTCTACATGTTTGTTCAAGTAAAAAGAATGACTCATACCTCTCACTGAAGTGTCCCTGAGATGGTATGTTTTGATGAGGTGAATATGGAGAACCTCCCCAGCCACTGTGGGTTCCATATGGACTATAATCTGTAAGAGAATGATTTATTATGGTATGATGTAATTCATAGATTTGATTCTTCTTTAAGGTACTCATAATCTAAAATAAATCTTCGAATTAATTATACAGATGTCTGGTATCTACCCCAAATGGCCAGATTTAAAAAATTCCTTAACTTTGTTTTTCTAAGTGTCAGGCAGCATGATGCTAGGTGCTGATATATGTTTGTTTCTTCCCCAATGAACTTTCAGTCTTTGTAGTTTTTCTTCTAGATTACTGTATAATGAAAATGCTATTCCCCCAAATGGCAATGAAGTTATATGGGGTGGGGTGGGGGGAATGGAAGAAACATTAAGAAAGCTTCATATATAGACATTTAATTTCAGTTTATATACCTAAAATTCTCTGGGTTATAATTACCTTTCTTACTGGGATGATTCCATGGAAAGTTTGACAATTACTGCCTTGCAAGATTATTAAAAACACTGATAGTAAATGGGGAGCAGGAGTAATGCTGAAAGCCAAGATGATGAACCTTTTAGTCAGCTTACCTCTGAGATTCTTACCCGAAATGTTAATAGGTTTTGTAGGAGCTCCCTGAGGTGCCATAGCCTGCATTGGACCAGCACCCTGATATATAGTTTTGGAAGTTCGTGAGATGGCACCAAACCGAGACACTGTTGGTCGGTCTCCAAATGGGATGAGGTCATCATCACTGGTTTCTGCTGCTCTTCTCTGAAGATCTAATCGTTGGTCCCTCATTCCTTTACTCTCCACATTCTGATAAAAAAGCAAAATGAGAAATCTACCCCACACTCAGATCTCTCTGTAGCCTAATTTTTTCTAGATCTGTAATACGGTTAAAGAAGAGTACAATGCTCTTACTGGTAAGACTAAAATCATTAGTTACCTTTGGTTGATTTTATATAACACTGGTTTTTAAACCTCTGAGGTGAGGGGCAACAGGGTCTCACTCTGTCATCCAGGCTGGAATGTAGGGACACTATCATGGCTCACTGTATCCTCAACCTCCCAGGCTCCAGTAATCCTCCCACCTCAGCCTCCAAGATAGCTGGGACTACAGACATGCAACACCACACCCAGCTAATTTTTATTATTATTATTATTATTATTTATAGAGATGAGGTCTCCCTGTGTTGACCAGGCTGGTCTCAAACTCCTGGGCTCAAGCAATCATCCTGCCTCTGCCTCCCAAAGTACTGGGATTACAGGTATAAACCACTGCACCTGGCCTAAGAAATATATTTTTAAAGTTTATGGGAGGCCACTGTTTTGGACTAAGCTCCCGCACTAAGCCCCAACACACCAGATCAAAGCAGAATGTAGTCACATGTGCTAGATGCCAGAAAATCAAACTTAATTTGAAAATGGGCCAGTTTTGGCTGGCCATGGTGGCTCATGCCTGCAATCCCAGTACTTTGGGAGGCCGAGGCGGGCGGATCATGAGATCAGGAGATGGAGACCATCCTGGCCAACATGATGAAACTCCATCTCTACTAAAATACAATAAAAAAAAAAAAATTAGCCGGGCGTAGTGACACACACCTGTAATCCCAGCTACTCGGGAGGCTGAGGCAGGGGAATTGCTTGAACCCAGGAGGCAGAGGTTGTAGTAGGCTGAGATTGCGCCAATGCATTATCAGCCTGACGACAGAGAGAGACTCTGCCTCAAAAAACGAAAATGGGCCAGTTTTCCAAAAAACAGGAGATTCACAGCAATCAATAAGACGACCACTCAATTTGAACTGGCATCATAAGCCCTTCTGCTTTAATCCTATAAGGAAATTAACTTTGAAACAACCAATCTGAGTTTTGTTCCTTTTCTCTGTTTAGCTCATTAGAGTATCTTTCTATTTTCATATATGGAATGCTTCCTGATTAGTCAATCACTAATAAAAGCCAATTCAATCTTTAAAAATATATACATATAATGACCTAGTATAATATGCATATAAATATTTATCCCTATACGTTACGCACATATTTTATATATATATATATATATATACACATATACATACAAATATATAATTTGTATGCACATTAACATTTGAGAAATACTGGGTTAGACTTCTTTCACCTATTTGGGAGGTTCTCAATTACCTCTAGATTGGATTGCAACTTTGTTTTATTTTGAGACAGTGTTCTGCTGTCACCAGGTTGGAGTGTAGTGGCCTATGAGACTCAACCTCCTGGGCTCAAGTGATCCTCCTGCCTCAGCTTCTCAAATAGCTGGGACCACAAGTGCATATCACCACACCTGGCTAAAAATTTCTTGGAGAGATGTGGTTGCCGTGTTGCCAGGCTGGTCTTAAACTCCTGGGCTCAAACAATCCTCCCACTTCAGCCTCCCAAAGTGTTGGGGTTATAGGTGTGAGTCACCATGTCTGGCCCAAACTTTTTTATTCTTTACTGATTTAAGAAAATGAGTTTTATTTTGCTAATACTCGTTTACTGTCTTATAATAACCCTTTCTGAAAGCCAAGTACAAAGCAAAGATTCCTGCCTAACTTCCCCTCATTTCATTCCAGTAAGAGCCTTACTGCAGCCTAAAAATAATGCTTCCCTAATCCTACCACAAAATAAATAAAAGTAAAGGTTTATTTTGCTTTTTCTTCCTCTAAAATTCTCAATTTTGGGGGCGAAGGGAGGCTGGCACCTAATCATATTTATGCTATTAGATATCACTTCACTCATTTACAGTAGTTAACAGCACCCAAATTTTTTTTATTGTAAATATTGGTCTTTTCTTAACCATTTCGAAAAAGTATTTATGAAAATCTATATAACAATCTAGGAAACCTCTTTCAGAGTTAATAAGGACAAATGGGTTACAAATAATAGTGAAGGCATAGCTTTCAACCCAGCAATACCATTTTTTATTTTGTGGGATGGAGTCTCACTCTGTCGCTTAGACTGGACTATAGTGGTGCAATCTTGACTGACTGCAACCTCTGCCTCCCAGGTTCAAGTGACTTTCTTGCCTCAGCCTCCTGAGTAGCTGGGATTACAGGCGCCCACTACCACGCCCAGCTAATTTTTGTGTATTTAATAGAGCTGAGGTTTCACCATGTTGGACAGGCTGGTCTCAAATTCCCGACCTCAAGTGATCCGCCTGTCTTGGCCTCTGAAAGTGTTGGGATTATAGGTGTGAGCCACCGCACCTGGCCAGTAATACCATTTCTAAGGGTAACTTTCACACATGTGAAGCCATACTACACTCCAGCCTGGGTGACAGAGTGGGACTCCATCTCAAAAAAAAAAAAGAGGACACATCTTAAAAGCAATGCTGAGTGAAAATATAAGCTGAAGTGTTTAATTTACATAAGGTCTATAAACATATAAAACAACACTGTTTAGAAATAGTATAAAATTATTCATGGCCAGGCACAGTAGCTCACACCTGTAACTCCAGCACTTTCAGAAACCGAAGCAGGAGAATTGCTTGAGCCCAGGAGGCGGATGTAACTACTTCTTGAAAATTTTATTTCTTTAAAAAATAAAAAGACAATTAAGATACTACCCAGGCAGGATAGCTCATGCCTGTAATCCCAGCACTTTGGGAGGCAGCGGCCGGAGGATTGCTTGAGGCCAGGAGTGTAAGAGCAGTCTAGGGAACATAGCAAGACCCCCATTTCTACAAAAAAAAAAATTTTTTTTTTTTTTTTAAATTAGGTGAGTGTGGTGGCATGTGCCTATAGTTCTAGGTACTCAGGAAGATCACCTGAGTCCAGGAGTTTGAGGTTACAGTAAGCCATAATTGTGTCATTGCACTCTACCCTGGTGACAACGTATGACCCTATTTCTATAAAAAGATAAGATTTTGATAATATTTTAAACTTGGTTATTAGAAACACTGGTGTTACATGATTTTTCACTAAAGAATAAAATAACCCAAGTATAAAATTTCAGCATCTTAGAGTTCACTTGAAGCTGAGCAGCTATAATTCTGGCTCAAATACTACTCTTGTTCACTAGATTCAACTTTGTTATTTAAACTTCAGAGTTGTGAAGTTTTAACTTATTTGGTGAAGAAATCCAAGATCTTGATTAATTATGTGAAATAATTTAATTTGGGTTGTAAACAACTGTTGAGAAATTGCTATTTGCACAGCAATATAATAAATGTCTGTCTAGGTAAGTATTAAATGATTTTTATTTACATCTAAATGAAACAAAACCTATATTATTTAAAGATAACTCAATTGCAGAATATAGAATATGGCCTGAATCGTTTAAGCAAAGCTGAATTATTTGTTCCTAAACTGTAATCGATGAAAATTTATTTGGTTTAATCTTGATTTGTATTAATTATTGCTTAGCTATTACACATACCATCATTTCCACACTCCCTGCTGCCACAACATCTTTGGGTTTTGCATCTTTGGTTCCAATGTAGGAGCCGATGGTGTCACATGACCAGGGAGAGTACTGGCTATAATCATTTCCTTTGTATTTCCCAGCTACCTTCAAGTCTTCATCCAAAAACTATAGATGGAGAAGGGATAAAAAAAAAAAGAAAAAAACCAGAAAATGGGTCTATGAGTAACAAGACAGAGAAAGCAGGGAATTTCTTAGAACATCGTGCTGAAGCAACATAATGATGATTATTCAATTTTTAAGTGGCACAATAGAAGATTTTTGTGAACTATGAAAAATATAAGTGAAGAGTGATTTTTAGTTTTCAGTTTTTTTTTTTTTCCAACTTAGCAGAAGGTAAAAAGAAAAAAGAGTATTTCAATCTCCTTCCAGAAATCAAGATAGGATTTTATGGGTTTGGTTATCATTTTCTTTATCAGATGAATAAACATTTAAGCATATATGTACCAAGCCATAGTTTTGTTAGACCCTTCTCAATGTTTCTTTCAATAAAATCAAGGTAACCAAGCATATTAAAAATTTTGATTTTTATAGTACATGATGGTGTAGTAACTTTTCACTGAAATCTCTTTAATAGCACTAATTCATATCTTGAATAAACTATGCTCCTTGGGTTGATTCAGTGAGATGAAAAGGACATCTAATTTTTATCTTAAGGTAAGCTCTCCAGTTATCTAATAAACAGAATAGCTATTCTAAGGCTAATGTATTTTCACTAAAATTACAACATTCACATTTATATAATGTTTTACATTTTCAAAGTGTTTTCATGTATACTATTTTATAAGCTCTTAATCCATGATAGACAACACAGGTGATATGACCAAGGCTATACCAGTGTAAGGCAGTGCTTGGACTCTAATATTTTTCATTTTATCACAAGACATATATACATTGATACCTAAGGGCTACTGGTTCATTCAAGCGGATCTATGCCTTCCCCTATATTAAACACATCTCTTTTCAGAGTCATCATTTTTGGCCTTCTGCACTGACATAGGGTCTGCTGCTCACTAACATCACTCATTGTCAACAACTCTTCTGTTTCTATTATTCATAACCTCTTCCTTTTTCTTTGTCCTACTATTTAAAGTTTTTATCCTTATTTTTCTTCCACTTACTAACTTTAGATAGAACAGCTAACTTTTAAAACACATAACTTAGCAATTACAGTGCTCTTTTTTTTTTTTTTTTTTGAGACATGTCTTCCTCTGTCACCCAGACTGAAGTGCAGTGGCATGATCTTGGCTCACTGCAACCTCCACCTCCATTCTCCTGCTTCAGCCTCCCAAGTAGCTGGGACTGCAGGTATGTACTCCTACACCTGGCTAATGTTTGTATTTTTAGTAGAGATGAGGTTTCACTACGTTAGCCAAGCTGGTCTTGAACACCTGACCTCAGGTGATTCACCCACCTCGGCCTCCCAAAGTACTGGGATTACAGGCATCAGCTACCATGCCCAGCCAAGAGTGCTCCTTTTTAAAAATCTGACTGTTGTGTGTTATATGCAGCTGTTTATATGAATGAGATAAATTTATATACCAACATGGACAGCCATGAAAATTGGTTAAGTAAAAACAAAAACAAAGGCAAAACAGACATCAAACCAAGATGTATTTACTAAATGATCCCATTAAAAAAAATGAGGTCAGGTGAGGTGGCTCACACCTGTAATCCCAGCACTTTGGGGTGCTGAGGCAGGCGGATCACCTTAGGTCAGGAGTTCAAGACCAGCCCGGGTCAAGGTGGTGAAACCCCATCTCTACTAAAAAAATGACGATTAGCTGAGTGTGGTGGTGCATGCCTGTAGTCCCAGCTAGTTGGGAAGCTGAGGCAGAAGAATTGCTTGAACCTGGGAGGTGGAGGTTGCAGTCAGCCAAGTTCATGCCATTGCACTCCAGCCTGGGTGACATTCCATCTCAAAAATAAATAAATACATAATATTAATAATGAGATCCAACAATCCCACTACTGGGGATTCATCCAAAGGAAAATAAATCAGAATATGAAGGGATATCTGTACTCCCATGTTTTATTCCCAATAGCCAAGATATGGAATCAGCCTAAGTGTCCAGCAACTGATGAAGAAAATGTGGTATAGATACAATGGAATACTAAAAAAATACTAAAAAAAGAATTAATCCTGTCATTTGCAGCAACACAGGTGAGCCTGGAGGACATCACATTAAGTGAAACTGGTCAGGTGCAGAAAGATAAATATTGCATGTTCTCACTCATATGTGGGAGCTAAGAAGTTGAGTCACAGAAGTCGAGAGTGTAACTGTGGTTATGAGAGACTAGAAAGGGAATGGGGGTAGGGAAGGGGAGAGAGAGCTTGGTTAACAGACACGAAATCACAGCTACATAGGAGAAATTACTTCTAGTGTTCTATAGCACTGTAGGGTAAATACAGTTAACAATAATTTACTATATATTTTCTAAAAGCTAGAAGAGAGGATTGTTTTTCCTTCTTTGAAAAAATTATGGTTTTTTAAAGAAAAGTTTTAACATTATAAACAGATCTTTATACACAATTTTATTCACCATTTCTTTAAACCAATTCAATCCAGGTTTATTTACTTAGTTACAAACGACAGAAAAAAATCTGGGCTGGGCACAGTGGCTGTAAGACCAGCACTTAGGGTGGATTGCTAGAGCCCATGAGTTGGAGACCACCTGGGCAACAAAGCAAGACCCTATCTTTTATAAGAAAATAGAAAAATTTAAAAAAAAAATTTCCACTTAGGATCTTGAAAGTCAAAATAAATGGAAAGTATCTAGGATAGATTGACAAAAGAAAGGAGTAACAACAAAATGATGATCAATTTGACGAACAAAGAAATGACAATCTTAGGCCGGGTACAGTGGTTCACGCCTGTAATCCCAGCACTTTGGGAAGCTGAGGTGGGCAGATCACAAGATCAAGAGCTCGAGACCAGCCTGGCCAACATAGTGAAACCCCCTCTCTACTAAAAGTACAAAAAATTAGCTGGGCGTGGTGACGGGCACCTTAATCCCAGCTACTTGGGAGGCTGAGGCAGGATAATCACTTGAAGCTGGGAGGCAGAGGTTGCAGTGAGCTGAGATTGCGCCATTGCACTCTAGCCCAGGTGACAGTGCAAGACTGTCTCAAAAAAAAGAAAGAAACCATAATCTTCATACACCAAAAAACAAAAACAAAACAGATTTGTAGTAAGAGAGGTGGCGACTTATAAAGGAATCTTGAGACAAACACTACGTTAACAATGCTATAGTTACATAAAGCAAGAACAGATCTGCCAAGCATTTTTCTTTGAAACAAAATCTGAAGATCATAAAGAGATATTTATTTAGCCCACAGGAAAAATGTTATTTCTACAATGTTACGTAATACAAAAATTTATAATTAAAATATAACACTGCTCTCTTCTTCAAAGAAAAGTTGGATGACTGGCCAGGCGCAGTGGCTCATGCCTGTAATCACAGCACTCTGGGAGGCCAAGGTGGCCAGATTACCTGAAGTTAGGAGTTCGAGACCAGCCTGGCCAACGTGGTGAAACTCTGTCTCTACTAAAAATACAAAAATTAGCCTGGCGTGGTGGCGCATGCCTGTAATGCCAGCTACTCAGAAGGCTGAGGCAGGAGAATCTCTTGAACCCCGGAGGCAGAGGTTGCAAAAAAAAGAAAGAAAAGAAAAGAACAGTTGGATGACTGTTCTGAATGACTTAAAAGCTACCTGCCTACCAGTCAAAGGGTGACCTGAAACTCTCTGGAAGCATCCTGCATTTCTGTAACTTGCAGCAGCGAGTATCACATACACAACTGTCCAAGAAAGAGAGGATTTTGAATGTTCCCAATATAGATAAAAGATCAATGTTTGAGATGATATGCTAATTACCCTGATCATTGCATATTGCATATATGCATCGAAATATTACTCTGCATCCCATAAACTTGTACAATTATAATGTGTCTACTAAAAAGATGTTAGTTCACGTACAGAAAGAAGGTGAAATATACATGAAAAGTTTAAATAATAAACAACGGGTACAGAAAATGGGATTTTGGAGAAACTCCTCTTTCTATATCACGTATTTCTATAATGTATGAATTTAGTACAACTGTAGGTAGATTATTTTATTTATGTTTTAATTTTTGTTGAGAAGGAGTCTGGCTCTGTTGCCCAGGTTGGAGTGCAGTGGCGCGATCTTGGTTCACTACAATCTCCACCTCCTGGGTTCAAGTGATCCTCCTGCCCCAGCCTCCTGAGTAGCTGGGATTACAGGTGCTCACCACCATGGCAGGCTAATTTTTGTATTTACATTGCTTATAATCAGAACTGAGGTTTAAATACATAGTTTTGCATTTTAGTAACAAAAATGATTCTAGATAAAGTTCTGTAATAGCCAGGCATTATAATTTTTATTAGGAGTAAAAATAATAATAAATATGAATTACTTACTGAATGCCTGCTACATGCCAGATGCCTTATGTTTCAACTTAACCATACCACTATAAGGTAGGTTTTATTATGTTTGATTCATAAATGAAGAAACTTGCACCTCAAAGTTCAGGGAGGCTAAGTAATTTTAAAAAGATCACAATGAAGGATACAACTGAACCTCAAAGTTTAGTATGTTTGATTCCAAAAATTGCTTACTTTTTACAATGTCATATTGTTTTCCATATTTCTTATAAAACAGTATGGCATAACAGAGTTTCAGGGTATATGCTAATAAACAATTTTTGGGAAAAAAAATCACAATTGTTTATTTTTTTCCTAATTTTTTTGAGACAGGGTCTTTGTTACCCAGGTTGGAACGCAGTAGCACAATCATAGGTCACTGCAACACGGACCTCCCAGGCTCAAGTGATCCTCCCACCTCAGCCTCCCAAGTAGCTAGGACCACAGGCACGTCCCACCACACCTGGCTAAATTTTTTTCTTTTTCTTTCTTTTTCAGATGAAGTTTCGGTCTTCTTGCCAAGGCTGGAGTGCAATGGCAAGATCTTGGCTCACTACAACCTCCGCCTCCCAGTTTCAAGCGACTCTCCTCCCTCAGCTTCCCCAGTAGCTGGGATTACAGGCATGCACCACTACGATCGGCTAACCAAAGTGCTGGGATTACAGGCTTGAGCCACCGCGCCCGGCCGAGATGAGGTTTCTCCATGTTGGTCAGGCTGGTCTTGAACTCCTGACCTCAGATGATCCACATGCCTCAGCCTCCCAAAGTGCTGGGATTACAGGCATGAGCCACTGTGCTTGGGCACCTGGCTAATTTTTATTTTTAAATTTGTAGGGATGGGGTCTCACTATGTTGCTCAGGCTGGTCTTTAACTCCTGGTCTCAAGCAATCTTCCCACCTCAGCCTCCCAAAGTGTGGGATTATAGGTGTGAGGTACTACACACCTGGCTTTTACTTTATAAAGAAAACTACATTAATAGATGTTGTGACTTTACTAATAGCCTGCATTTTTGTGGAAAATTCATCCAAAGTGTTTAGATGGAAAAACTAGATATTGTGAACAACTTCTATTTAGTAGATTTCCTTCATATACCCAACAAGATGCTGTTTACTATGTGTGATGCACTTTTCAATTTTCATTTATTATTCATCATTTGTCAGTTAGCAATGTTTAGAATCGTAATTCTATACATAAAGGATGCAAGACAAGTTCCTTACATAGTATCAACTGTAATCCTGCTGAGAAAACTTATTTAAAAAAAAACATATACAAACTATAAGCTAAGGCAGTATGTACAATCAACAAAACAAATACGATTACTTCAAAGTTGGATTTTTGGGCTGGGTGCAATGGCTTATGACTGTAATCCCAGTACTTTGGGAGGCCAAGGCAGGCAGATCATTTGAGGTCCGGAGTTCGAGACCAGCCTGGCCAACATGGTGAAACCCTGTCTCTACTAAAAATACAATAAAAATTAGCTGGGTGTGATGGCACATCCAGCTTCTGGGGAAGGCTGAGGCAGGAGAATTGCTTGATCTGGGAGGCTGAGGTTGCAGTGAGCCAAGATCTCTGGCACTGCACTCCAGTCTGGGCAACAGAGTAAGACACTGTCTCAAAAAAGAAAAAAAAAAAAAAACAACGTTGGCTTTTTGAAAAGATGAATAGCCAGGCGCGGTGGCTCACGCCTGTAATCCCAGCACTTTGGGAGGCGGAGGCGGGTGGATCACGAGGTCAACAGATCGAGACCACCCTGGTCAACACGGTGAAACCCCGTCTCTACTAAAACTACAAAAAATTAGCTGGGCATGGTGGCGCGTGCCTGTAATCCCAGCTACTCAGGAGGCTGAGGCAGGAGAATTGCCTGAACCCAGGAGGCGGAGGTTGTGGTGAGCCGAGATCGTGCCATTGCACTCCAGCCTGGGTAACAAGAGTAAAACTCTGTCTCAAAAAAAAAAAAAAAAAAAAAAAAAAAGATGAATAAAATGGGTAAATCCCTAGCAAGACTGACAAAAAAATATTACCAGTATCAGAAATAGAAAAACGAATGATCACTGTAGACCATACAGACAATAAGATAATAAGATAACACTTATTCACTATAACTATTAGCACTGTCATGCAGAAATACAAAGAAGCTGACTCCCCAAATTATGGTTTATTTTTTTAAAAAAAGAACTGGAACATTAGCCATTATTATTATTATTTTTTTTTTATTTCATGAATTTCTCCTCAGAAACATTAACCATTATTGGCCGGGCGCGGTGGCTCAAGCCTGTAATCCCAGCACTTTGGGAGGCCGAGGCGGGTGGATCACGAGGTCAAGAGATCGAGACCATTATTTTTAAGCAACCTTATTTGACTGTTTTTTTCCGATTTTCACTATCTATATTTACCTGTCTTTCCTATTCATTAAAACAACTTTTCTGGCTGGTTTCCTCATTACTGAATTAAATGATATGTCTTACTTATTTAAAACAATTCTGAAACTAGGATTAGAAAAAAGCTTCACAAATATGACAAAGATTTTCTACCAGCAAGCCTACAGCCAACTTCATAATGGCAAATTATTATTAAAAGCTCCATTTACTCAAATATTAGAAACTAGTCAAGAATATGTGTTATCATCATTTCTATTTAGCATTATGCCAGAGTCCAAAATAATAAGACAAAGACAAGACAAAAGGATTAAAGAGGAAAAAAAGATTATTATTCAGAGGACATAATTATGTGCACAGAAAATTCAAAAGCATCTACTCACAAGTATTAGAATAGAGAAATTCAGCAAGACAGCTGAACAAAAAGGTCAATACATCAAAATCTATTTAATTTCTCTATATTAATAACATAGAAAATGAAAATTTCCAAAAGAATTCTATTTAAAATAATTTCAAAAAACATTGGTTATCTAGGAATAAATTTAACGTTAAGATACGCAAGATACTGAAATGTGAAGTATAAAGAAAATCCAAATAAATGAAGGGGGTATATCATGTTCATAGAGACTTGATATTAGAAAGATGTCACCTCTCACCCTATCGATCTAAAGCAAAACTGTCGAGGCTGAGCACGGTGGCTCACGCCTGTAATCCCCAGTACTCTGGGAAGCTGAGGTAGGTGGATAACCTGAGGTCAGCAGTTTGAGACCAGCCTGACCAATATGGTGAAATGCTATCTCTACTAAAAATACAAAAATTATGGCTGGGCATGGTGGCACGCGCCTGTAACCTCAGTCGCTCGGGAGGCTGAGGCAGGAGAATCACTTGAACCCAGGAGGTGGAGGCTGCAGTGAGCTGAGATTGTGCCACTGCACTCAGGTATGGGCAACAGAATAAGACTCCAACTCAAAAAAACAAAAACAAAAACAAAAATCAGCCAGGAGTGGGTGGTGGTGTGCACCTGTAGTCTGAGCTCCTCAGAAGGCTGGGACATGAGAATTGCTTGAACCTGGGAGGCAGAGGTTGCAGTAAGCCAAAATCATGCCACTGCACTCCAGCCTGGGCAACAGAATGAGACTCCGTCCCCCAAAAAATAAATAAATAAAAATAAAGCAACACTGTCTAATAGAAATATAACGAGATCCACATATACAATTAAAACATTTTTAGTGGCTGGGCATGGTGGCTCATGCCTGTAATCCCAGCACTTTGGGAGGAGGAGGCGGGCAGATCACAAGGTCAAGAGATCAACCATCCTGGCCAACATGGTGAAACCCCATCTCTACTAAAAATACAAAAGTTAGCTGGGCGTGGCGGCGCGTGCCGGTAGTCCCAGCTACTCAGGAGGCTGAGGCAGAAGAACTGCTGGAACCCAGGAGGCGGAGGTTGCAGTGAGCCAAGATTGCACCACTGCACTCCAGCCTGACACCTGGTGACAGAGTGAGACTCTGTCTCAAAAAAACAAAACAAAACAAAACAAAACAAAAAAAAAAACCTCAATAAAAACATTTTTAGTGGCCACATTAAAAACAAAAACAGGTAAAATTAATTTTAATCATAATTTTATTTAATCCAGTATATCAAAAATACTAATGATTTTTACATTTTTGGTATTAATCCTTGAATCCAAGTGAAATCAATTTTAATAATAATTTTATTTATTAATGAATGTTACATTTTTGGTATTAAATCCTTGAATCCAGTGTATATTTTATGACTCTAGTACATATAAACTTGAACTAGCCACATATTACATGTTCAATAGCCACATGTGGCTAGTGGCTACCATAATGGACAGCACAGATTTAGACATCTGAAGTAATCCTAATCAAAACTGGAGCAGAGGTTTTTGTGAAAATCAATATGCTGATTCTTGAAAGATAACAATACTAGAAACTATAGGCCAGGCACAGTGGCTTACACCTATAATCCTAGCACTTTGGGAGGCCGACCTGCGCTCAGGAGCTGGAGACCAGACTGCGCAACATGGTGAAGCCCCATCTCTATTAAAATACAAAAAAAATTAGCTGGGTGTGGCAGTGTGTGCCTGTAGTCAGCTACTTGGGAGGCTGAGGCAGGAGAATCGCTTGAACCTGGGAGGTGGAGGTTGCAGAGGGCTGAGATTGCGCCACTGCACTCCAACTGGGCCACAGAGGGAGACTCTGTCTCCAAAAAAGAAAAAAGAAAATACAACCACCACATATTGAGACTTATGATAAACATATTGAGACTTATGATAAAACTACACAAAGAGAAATTGGCATTGGTTTCAAGGATAGAAACAGACTGATGGAAAAGAATAGAGTCCAGAACATGTATGTGGTCACCTGATTATGATAAATCAGGGAACCAGGGAAAGCATGCTGATTTAAATAAATTGTGCTGGGTCAATGCCTTACAGGAAAAAAAAAAAAAAGGATCTTGACTCCTAATACATTATGTTACATACAAACAAAATCAGTTCTACATGGTTTGTAGAGCTAAATGATAATAAACCTTTTAGAAGAAAACAGGAAAAAAACCAAACTGGACACACACACAAACACACTGATAAATGAGTAAATGAGACTAAAAATGATTTGCTTACTTCTTCTGGATGAAAGGTAGGAGGCAAGGTTGGTGACGGTGCAAAAGGAGGTGGAGAGATAACCTTTCTTTCTTCTAGCTGGGCCATTATTTCCTTTCGTCGGCGATGTAGTTCATCTAGACTAGGATGAGGCTGGGGAGGAGGAGGAAGCCGGCTATAAGGTGGTTCCTTAAAACAGAAAGATTAGTTAAAATTGAAAGAGAATTTCAGGACAGATTAATTCGTTTAATATTCAGCATATATTTTAAGTTAAGAAGCAACTTGTAAACCCTTCTTAACATTGGGAAATACCAAGACTTAATAGAACAATGGAAAACAAACCCCCCAAATGCTCAAGATCTTCCAAAGTGCTAAATTTAGGTTTCTTTTATTTAGTCATAATTTCCAAGTAGATCTAGAATTGTTAATTAAACCTTCTGAAGTTCAGAAACTAGAATGGTTAGTTATGGGGAAGGAGGCAGAATTTTCTCATTAATAGTTAAAAAAATACCCAAATTATGAAAAGATAAAAAAAGAAGCTCTCTTATAAAAAAGAAGTTATCAAAGGGTTACTGTCATTCCATAGAAAGGAATCACTGCAAGCAATAATCAAATTAAGTCTATGTAATAAGAAAAAAAGTGCAGCATACTCTGAGGTACGAAGCTCTGATCCGAGGTGGATGAGGAGCCACTGGATAGTAACTCTCGATCTGTTGGTATCTTTCTCTGGATTCTGGTACATAGGATGGTACTGCTGCAGGTGGAATCTCAATGGGTATAGGGCTTTCTCGGAACATCTCTTCTCTCGTGTACGACTGAGCAGGGTACACTTGACGGCCATCATAGTGAGATGGGTATATAGGTGGGTACTGCTGTGGCTGTGTGCCATACTGAGAGTTTACAACACGATCTTGGAGGTAAGGTGGATAATGATCCAAGTAGGGAGGAGCAGGTTCAGGAGCAGATGGTGGAGGTCTGACAAAGCGGGACACACATTGTGGTGGTGGAGTATAATACATACCTGTACAACATAATAGAAGAATCAAAGGCACTAATGAGCCAATCTAGTTTTCTACATAAGACTTTACCTTTTAAAATACTGAAACACTAAAGTATTGATAATCTAATTTCTTTAGAAGTTTTCCCTCTGCTTATATAATCAGGTTAACTTTAAAAAAAAATAACAAGCAAAATTACCTGTAAAAGTCATTGAAAAAAGTACCCTACTTAAAATCTATAATAGTAGATTGGCTCTCATTGTTTGACCCTCTTTCTGGTGTGTCTTAATGCAATGAAGACACTTGAAAACAAAAACTGCATTTCCCAGATATCCTTGAAGTCAGGTTCTACAAATCAACCACTTGCATGAGTTTTGAATTTGAAACTGAAATAACTGGGAAGAGATAAGGACACAAAAGGCCAATTTTGCTGGTGCAGATTAGTTACTGCTTCGCTCTAGAGTTCTTGAGACAACAGTTGTGGCAATAGTTTCTCAATTTTCGGACTTTTGCCTCAAATGATGTGATCTTGGAATTAAGTAGTGAGGACAGAAAGTTTCTATTTCTACTGCTTCCTCATTGTAACAAGTTCTCTTGCAGCTAGCTCTGGAGCGTTGTTTGCTTCTCTAGGGCCTCCACCAATATGGCAGGCACCTAACTCCTGCACTAAATCTCTTTCTGCTTAATATAGCTCAAATAATTCATCTAAAAGTGAAACCAGGCTACAAAAATGGTTGCATTTTTCCTATAATGGATAGTCAAAAGGAAGACACAAATCACATTTCATCATATTTTGCATGAATTAGTATTGCCATATCAATTAAAAACTATTCTTATGAATGTAGAGAAGACAACATGATTCAAAATTAACTGACAGACTTGGAAAAAGAAAAGAGGGCACTTTTAATCTATTCTCCTTTTAAAAATTATAGTATCATACTGCTTCTGACAGAGAGATCCAAGATGTACAATCATTCAGTATTTTACACATAAATTGTGTATGTAAAACAGTTTATCTTCTTTCCTTCATTCTCCATACCTGGTATTATCATTGAAGCTGGCTAATTTTCAAATCTTTCTATTTTCTAAATCCCTTCTTCTCCTTTCCCACCACACCAATTCCTCAATTCTCACACCAGGATTAACAGTCTCCTAACTCAACTCTCATCTTTCCAATGCATTCATAATTTTTCTTTCTATTCCAAATAGCTTTATTTGGGGCATTTCTTCCACTAAGTCTTTTTGATTCCTCAAGTTCTCAATGATCTCCCTTGAGTCTTTCAGTCTATTTCTACAAAGCTAATATTTTTTTTTTTTTTTTTTTTTTTTTTTTTTTTTTTTGTTGGGTTTTT